TTACTTTTATTAAAACACACACCCCAAGAAAAATTTTCAAAGAGCAAAACCGAATATGACCAGATTATCTACTTTTAAGAAAGTAACAGGTAGTCAGGTGGAAAGTGGCCTAAAGGGAAAAACTGGCCCAAAAAGAAATGTACAGACACTCTCATAGGAACCTAAATCTGAAGCTGACAAAAGCTCAAACTAAAACAGGAACAAGGGGCAACCCCGGGCGGCCCAGCAATTTAGCACTGCCTTCAGCCCAGGGCGTGATCCTGGAGACCCAGGATCAAGTCCCATATTGGGCTCCCTGCATGGAACCTGCTTCTCCCTCTTCCTGTGTCTCTGCCTCTCTCAGTCTCTGTGTCTCTCATGAATAAATAAATAAAATCTTTTTAAAAATTAAAAAAATAAAACAGGAACAATGAGAAAAGGAAAAGCAGTGCCCAGATTCAAAACACTTGCAAGGTAAAAACAAAAGAATTCAATCAGATAACCCTGTAGATACCATTCTGTAAGATGCAGAATGCAAGACGACCAGTGGTTTGAGGGGGGAAACTGTGGTTTCCATTTTGCACATGTATACAGGATATGAAGAAAGACACATGTCTCCAGTTCAGGAGTAAAAACAAAACAGAGACACATCCGAGGGCAAAATATACCAGCACGTAGGAACTTCAGAAGCAGCCAGTTCAAACAAGTGATTTATTACAGTTCATTCTTACTTACTCATTACCAAGTCTCTTAAGGACTTTCAACAGGTAATTCTTTTTCTAATTATAAAACCAAAACAAACTTATCTGGAGAAATCTGAAAAGTTTACAGAAACAAGAAAGCATAATCTTTCCAGCCCAGGAGTTTTTATTTATATTTCTTTCCAATCTTTATTTTTACATAGTTGGTTATACTACTTTCCTAACCCTTTAAAGTATATACTCTCTCATGATTTTTTAAACATTTTATTTATTTGAGAGAAAATGAGTGCACACACCAGAGTGCACAAGCAGAGGAGAGGGGAAGAGGGAGAAGGCAAACCAGACTCCCCACTGAGCAAGGACCCCCCCCCCCATCATGACCTAAGCCAGGATCATAACCTACACTGAAGGCACTGAGCCATCCAGGCACCCCTACTCTCCCATGATTTTAAACACCTTTCTCTATTACTCTGTATAATAAATTATCCATAATTTACTTCATGTAAACCCTAATGGTGGCATTTTAGTTGATGCCAACTTTCACTATTAAAAACTGATTAAAGTGTTTGGGCATAATGTATCCTCATTTAAGGCTGAGTTCTAAACATGCATTAATTAGTTTCATCTGTGCTAATGCATACTCCCACTAATAAAAATCAAATGGCAACTTACTGCATCCTTACCAATACTGAATATTTTTATTTAAAAATGTATTTGGCAGATAAAAGGTGAACTAATTATTTTAATTTTATTTCTTGGATGACATGGAGACTAAATTTTTAACTGTTTGGTCATTTATTACCCTCCTCCATGAGTAAGCTATTGGTTTTATAGCCCAGTTATTAATTTGGGCTTCAGTGTTATACTTTATTTGAACGGGATCTTAACACATAAATATTGATCATTTTTGTTATCTAGATTTTTCCAAAAAACTTTATATCAGCTTTTTCCTATTGGTTTCCCTTTATGATTTCTCCCATTTGGAAGTTCTTCATCCAGAGAAAATGCAGAATTTCAATTATAATTATAAAAAATTTATTTTCATTTACTTTTAAAATAAACTCATCCAGGCATGTAATAAAAATTCCAACAGCACCAACAAGTATATATCCCATCCTTCAAGATTCCAGTTATCTTATGTATGAAGATTTAACTACTTCCCATTAAAAAAAAATTGATAGGGATCCCTGGGTGGCGCAGCGGTTTGGCGCCTGCCTTTGGCCCAGGGTGCGATCCTGGAGACCCGGGATCGAATCCCACGTCGGGCTCCCGGTGCATGGAGCCTGCTTCTCCCTCTGCCTGTGTCTCTGCCTCTCTCTCTCTCTCTCTCTATCATAAATAAATAAAAATTTTTAAAAAATGTAAAAAAAAAAAAGTCTAAAAAAAATTGATAGTAACTTATACAACTTTTCTACACCTGACTTATTTTACTTTATTTTGGAGATCTAATCTTGTACACTTAAACCTACCTCTTTCTTTGTAAAGGGCACACAATACTCTACTGTATGAAGATAGCATCATTAAACAAGTCTATTGATAGATATTAAGGTAGTTTCTAGACTTTTGTTACTATAAACGAAACTACAATTAATGTCCTTACACATAAATCTTTGTGCACAGCACAGATTTGTATAATAAATTCCTAAAAGTGAACTTGCTAAGTTGTCATATACATTGTAACTCATGATACTACCAATTGCTCTTTAAAACAGTTGTGAGGGATCTCTGGGTAGCTCAGTGGTTTAGCACCTGCCTTTGGCCCAGGGCGTGATCTTGGAGTCCTGGGATCGAGTCCCACATCAGGCTCCCTGTGTGGAGCGTGCTTCTCCCTCTGCCTGTGTCTCTGCCTCTCTCCATCTCTCTCTCTCTCTCTCTCTCTCATGAATAAATTTTTAAAATCTTAAAAAATAAAAATAAAACAGTTGTGAATTTATAATACCATAAAAATGTATGAGTCCTGCTTACAGTGGAAACCTGAGCCCTGACTAATAAATTTGTATCTGTGTAGGGGTGCTAGAGTGAGAAAATCATAATTTTGCAGCCATCACTGTGAATATTAGCCCAAGCAAGCATCCAGTGATGCTAAGGGAAAGACTTTAATGAGCAGGATATTTGTATAATCTTAAAGAGTTTCCCTATGGAAGGCTTATTATATGCCAGGGTAGAAAAGAGTAACCATACAGTGATCAGAAAACACCTTGGAACAAAGTAACATGACCACCAAGGGGGCAGATGGGCATTGTATGCCTCAGCTGCAATACCAGAACGAGGACACAGTGTCACTTATGTTGTAATCCTGCCAGGACTGTATAATCTAAATGTAATCACAAGACAAAATACACAAACCCCAAATGAGGAATATTCTATTAAAAAAGACAAACCAGAAGAGGCCTATATTCTCCAAAAATATCAATGACATGGAAACAAAGGCCGAGGAACTGCTGTAGATTAAGAATACTAAAGAGGCAAAAAAAAAAAAAAAAAAAATACTAAAGAGGCAACTAAATGCAGGATATGATCCTAGGCTGGATTCTGAACTGTAGGGAAAAAAAATGCTAGGAAGGGCATTACTGGGCCACCTCATGGAAATAGAATATGGAAAGTGGACTGTTAATACAAATTCACTGAGGTTGGTAATTATACTATAGTTGTATATGAAAGTATCTTTTCTCTTAGAAGATGCACACTGGGAGGTGTCTGCAGGGAGAAGGTCATAATTGTATACAACTTAGTTTCTTATGGTTCAAGAAAAAAAATACATACATGAAGGAAATTGAGATAGTAAAGGGACAATGGATTAATAGCTGAAATCAAGGTGAGGGACATATGCTGTTTTTTTGTGCTGTCACTATAATTTGTTAATTTGAAATTAAAAATTAAAAAGGAAGCAATGACTACTCGTCTCACACACACAGCACATGTGAGTGCCTATTTCTCACTCTCATCAACATGGTATATTATACAATATTTCTAAGCTTTGCCAATAATGGGTACAAAATAGTATCTCAGTTTTAATCTGCATGTCTCTGAAGTTACACATCTTTTCTCATGTTTAAAGGTTCATTTTCTATAAACAATCTTTTGACTTTTTAACTTAAAAAAAATATTTCATCTATCTGCATTTTGGAAGGCAGCTATGCTCACCACTATACCACCAACGCCGGCTCTATCTGCATTTTGATGTTGTCATAAAGACTGTATCCCTCCAAAATTCATATGTTAAGTCCTAACACCCAAAGTGATAGTATTTGGAGGTGGGGCTTTTGGGAGGTGTTTGGGCTATGAGAGTACAGCCTTCATGAATGGAATCAGTACCCTTACAAAAGAGAAATAGAGAGCTCCTGTGCACCTTCTGCCATGTGAGGACACAGTGCAAAGATGGCCACCTATAAACCAGAAGGCAGACAGACACTGGAGCTGCTGGTGCCTTGATCCTGGACTTTTTAGTCTCTGGAAGTGTGAGAAATAAACTTCTGTTGTTTACAAGCCACTCCATCTATGGTATTCTGCTATAATAGCCCAACAGATTAAGGCAGATATAAAATGATGGTAAATTAATTTTCAAGGGTGTTAACCAATTATCCTAGCACTGTTTGCTAAATGAATCCTTTCTTTGCCCTGCGATTAGGACTTTTGATGTCTTTTTGGGTGTACTTTGAGAACATAAAGTACGTAAATACGTAAGTATTTAATACCTTGTATATCTCTTCTCACTTATTAACTCGAACTAATCTTTTTAAAATTTTCACTCAAATGGGTAAGATTTTTCATAATGATACCCATAGGAATTAAAATTGGTAGCTAAAAAAACCAGTAAGTATGTAAAAAGCAGACAGTATTTCATACACAACTCACAAGTCATGTGTTTAAATGTGAACAGTCATATTAGCTGTATTATTCTCACATTATTAATATAAATTTAGAAAAGCTACATATACTATACACTGAACCATCATAGGGGACTAATATATTTATTTTGGATCAGTAACAGCATTAAAAAGAAAAGTAGGTTTCAACAAAAGGAGAATTGAGAGACTTGAGAGAAGCTGTGTCTTCTCTTTGTGAATCCCCACAATACCCAGAACAAAATACTCTGCAATGGATACTCCATGAATGGTCCCAACAGAAAGAACATATACTGAGATCGAAGTTTTCTTAGAACAGGATTACTTCAGCCAATACATCTGTAAACACCACAGCATCACTTTTAAAAACTGTTAACTATATATATTGATAAAAATATGTATCATATAATCATTTAGATATATCACAATAAAGTGGTCAATGAGCTTCAGGAATTCTCTTAATACAAAATCTTACCTCTTCAAAAACAGCAGCTTTATTTACTTTTTCTCTTGCAATATCACAGATTTTTAGGATTCCCAGAGCAAAAGCTTTCATGGCAGGATCTTCTATAAAGTCTGGATTATGAATGTAAAGGCACGTAAATACGGTCTGTGCCAAGGAATGGCCTTCTAACCATGTTATCTACAAGGAAAAGAATGTTTATGTTTAAGATGACACAGAGTCTGCAAAGTCTAAATTGACCCAGCAGCCAAGGTCTGGACTGCCGCAGACCCAAATAAATGTATTATTAATCATGGTATTTCAAAGATGATTAAAGGGAAGGTTAGAAGAGACAAAAGAATTACAATTCACTTTTACAGACTAAAATTTTTCGAAAATCATATACCACAAATAAGATTAGCTATCTAAGGAAAGCATTCTCACACAGAATTCAGTTTGCAATATATTTGGACACTAATGAAATTAGAATGCTGCCTTACATACTATCCAAAAGCAATCGATTCCACAATGGAGTCAATAAAAATCCATAAAGTAGGGAATTCACAATTTTAGAACTAACCAGGTACTTAGCCACTCATTTAACTTTTCTTTTTCATCCTTATTACTACTAATCTAGTCAACAGTATCACATCCCAATCTAGAGTACTGCAAGAAACTGCACAAGTTTTCCTGCCTCCCACCTCTAATTTGATAACCCCCAACCAGAGGAACTTTCTGGGAGGTCACAGTTTTTAGATTAGCCAAGTGTATTTTAACTCTTACCAAACAGCAAAAACAAGTATCCATTATCCCTATCAATTCAGGCAAGGTGAGGTCTTTAATTTTAATGGTGCCATCCTAAAAAGGAGGAGAAATATGACATGAGCAAAAGTTTTTATAAATTTATGGTTTCTATGTTTAGTAGCAATTTTTGCCTTCCAAAAATCAAATATTTTAGAAAATAACAATTCTAGAACTGTATCATCTGATAAAAACTAAGATACCGGGGCAGCTGGGTGGCTCAGTTGGTTAAACGTCAGCTTTCGGCTCAAGTCATAATCTCGGAGTCTTGGGATTGTACCCCGCATTGGGCTCCCTGCTCAGTAGGGAGAGGGTGCTTCTCCCTCTGCCCCTCATCCCACTCATGCTCCCTTTCTCTCTCAAGTAAATGAAATCTTAAAAAAAAACAAACAAAAAACTAAGATACCAACTCTGTATTCTTAAAATATATTTTAAATATTCAATAAGAAAAATCAAAGCCTCTTAATTATAACAGAATAAAGGCCTATATAAAGCAGTCAAACCAACAAGTATTTAAAAACACAGTTCAAATTAGTTTTAAGCATTAATAAATATGAATCACTTCAATGGATCAAAACTACTTAAAAAGAGAAAAGTAAACATTTTTCAAAAAGATTATTTTAAAGAGAGTGTGCATGCACATGCACTGAGTGAGGAAGGAGAAGAGAGAGGAGGAGAGAGAGTGCCTCAAGCAGACTCCCCCTTAAGTGCAGAGACCAACCTGGGGCTCAATCTCATGACCCTGAGATAAGCTGACCCAAATGAGCCAGCCAGCAGCCTCCAGAAAAGTAAACATTTTTAAAAACCCTTCCCGCATTTTGATTAAGTTGTTCAGCAAATCTTTCTTCATTAAATATGCAAAATTAAACTCTGTGGCAATTATAAATGAATCTGTAATTCAATCCTCACAGAGTGAATTTCAAATTCAAAACCACAAGTATTTTGCCTAATATATTAATACATAAAATTTAATACCATAACCAACTACCCTGGTACTTGAACATTCACGGAAATCCTTTAAAAAATTAATAAACACACACGCAGAAATTTAGAGCAAGCTTATAATGAAGACCTTGAACAATTTACCGATTTCAAAAGAGATCAATAACTAAAGGTCATAACTAATTTTTATTTATATATCTGAGATGTTCTTAAAGTAATTATACTTTAATACACCAAGTTTGATCTTCATTGTTTTAACATATGAAATAACAAATGATAAAACACAAAAAGCACAACGGTAACTACCTTAATAGCCTGTTCAAAATTGAGAACTTTTCGATTAACTTGGTTTCCAATCATGCCAGCGTCCATCTTGGGATCCATCATTTCAATGGCAGACATGGCTTCAAAAAGACCAAACCTGCAAATAAAAAAATTAACCCCACAAATTGTTTTTGAACCAGTAAGTTTACCCAGACTCTCACAATGATATAAAAATTATTATAGTGCTTTAAATAACTACAGTATTCTACATATTTAGTCTTCCCAATTTGCCACCACTTGTTTCAATTAAATAATCTTCCTTTAACATAAAAATTGTTTCAAGTATTTGCCACTCAAATTATTTTACAGGTACTGTGGGGGAGAAAAGAAAACAAAAGATTTTCTTTGTCTTTCCTTCCCAAATGCTGCACATTGGAAATTTTGGAAAAAAGACCAACTGGTCTATAATGGATTTCACTTTACCTTCTTTAAATAATTTTCTCTACTTAATATTCAGAAAGCTGTGTTGGGAAGACTCATCAAATATAACTTTAAGATTTCTTCATTTTCTTTATATCATGAATAACGGAAATATCTCGCACATTACTGTCTATAATGCCCAAAGTTCTGACAATTAACATAATGAAAAATAATCCAACAATCTACTTATCTTGTCTGATATTTACGGCTTGTTAGCCATAAAAGCAGATAGTTAGGATGCACTGTGGACTGGTTAATAAGTATATCGTTAACTGAGATATGCCTCAAAAAAATGGGAAAGGAACAAAGAAAGCTTAAAAGAAAATCTGACAGGTGATCAAGCTACTGACTTCATATTTCACTCAGTCCAAGCTATTAGATTACCAGAAAAAGATATGTACCTTGTTACATAAATCATTTCTCTCAGAAGAGCAGCACCAAGATACCACTACCAGCTTTAAATTAGAAGACACTCTTCCCTGCAACCTCTCAAATATCTTAATGCTTCAAGATAATCTGACAAGATGAATGTGATATTATTGAAGACAACTCTAGTCTATGCTAATCAAAACCCAAATGGTATTTTTCAAAGAGGTTGTCAAGCCAAAAGAGTAAATATGCAAAACTGAAGAGAATTTTTTCAACAAAAACAACAGAGATTCAGCAAATATCGAAGACATGATAATTAAAAGCATTTTAGAATATAAAGATCAATAGAAAACTGCTTAAACTCACATTTCTGTAGAAATTATATATGATAAAGGTAGAATTTCAAAGTAGTGAAAAATAATGGGTTAATCAATAAATACTATTGAAACAAGTGGCTAAACATCTGGAAAAAGTGAAATCTCTCACACAATTTCACAAAAAGTAAACTTGGATCAAGTTACAAGACAGCTAAGGGAGATAAGAATCACAAGAATATAACTTTAATAGATGGTCAGGGAGGCTGCTGGCAATGTAGTTCCCTGGGCTGAGCCTAAAACCTTGGGGAAATGAAGAAGGCTTGGTTAATCCAGCTATCTTCCCTCAAATCTTGTTGCATAGTCAGGCCCACACTCCTGCATTAGCTTGTGATATGATTATATCTTTCCTAGAATTGCCTGCAACACCAAAATGATGCCCCAGAATGGTTCTTAATGTGGTCGTCCCTAGATCAGCCGCATCAACTTCACCAGGAAACTTTTGAGAAATGCAATTTCTGTGGTCCCACACGCCAGCTCTAAAGAAGGAACTGGGAGGGGGGGCGCGGGGGGAGCAACATGTGTTTCAACATGTGGGATGATCCGGATTCACACTAGAGTCTAATGTCTAATCTTGGCCACTAATTTAACACTTCGTATTCCTAACCTTGAAACTGAGTCTGGCCATAGCAGTAGGAGAACTATCTATGGGAGTTAAACAACCAAGCAACTCTCTTTTTTCACCTTTCTGGGGGATTCTCAATCTGCTTTCATCCAGCCATTAAATCACTCATCTCTGGCCATCAGCCAGCCTATCACAGATAACATAGAGCCTGTACCTTTTCTTCAAGAAATTCCATGTCCTATATATAAACTCTCAAGGAAAGGACCGAGAGTCACAGTTGCATTAAGTACAGCCATTTCATATCACAACTAGGATCAGCTGTCCCAAAATTACTCACTGAGGTTAAAAATATAATTATTTTATTTTTACAACTTTGAAATGTAATATTACCCAGGTCTCAAGGAATATACTGCACACAAAAAACAGGTGTAAATATTACAATACACTATTTCAAAAGACACAAATACTTACAGCTTATCATGAAGCAGTTCTCCCAACTTTAATTCTAAAAGAAAAAAAAGAGAAAAATTCTTTGAATAATTACTTTATACTTAAATTTTAATTGTAAGGAAAAAAATCCAAAAGATTAGCTCAAAAATGGGCTAGATTACATTAAACTTCTTTTTCTAAGAAATTACTATATTATTTGTACTCAGTTACTAATATAACGCCTTCTACACAGTGAATATTTAAGCCCTATAACTTGAAATTTTTGAATTAGCCAGTGACCCACAACAGGCCAAAATAATCCAATCAGAATTACCAATCTCATTTTAAAGTAACACTAGTAAAATTTCCCCATATATACTTTTTCATAAAACTGACTACTAAAATTTCTTAAATTGCTTTTAAACCACTTGGTGTCATAATCTAGCCTCTCGTGTCCTAGTAACAGTGACAAAGCTACTTTTTAAAATTTCATTTTACTCAATCTGGAGGGGCAAGATGGCGGAAGAGTAGGGTCCCCAAATCACCTACCCCACCAAATTACCTAGATAACCTTCAAATCATCCTGAAAATCTACGAATTCGGCCTGAGATTTAAAGAGAGAACAGCTAGAATACTACAGTGAGAAGAGTTCGAGGTTCTATCAAGGTAGGAAGACTGGGGGGGAGGGGGGAATTAAAGAAACAAAAGACATCCAAGGGGGAGGAGCCCCGCGAGGAGCCGGGGAAGCGCCCCCGGGACAGGAAAGCTCCATCCCAGAGAAGCAGGAGCATCACCAATCTTCTCAGGTGGGAAGGCACTCCCAGGGAGTTAGAGCAGGACCCCAGGAAGGGCGGGGATGCCCTCAGGCTCCCTGGGAAACTAACACAGCAACTGTGCCCCGGGGAGAGTGCTCCGAGCTCCCTAAAGGGCTGCAGCGCCCACACGGCTGGACCCGGGAGCAGCTCGGAGGGGCTCGAGCGGCGGCTCCGCCGAGAGGTGGCTGCGCGAGGTGGCTGCACTCCCGGGAGCGCGAATCCAACGGCCCGGGGACACAGCCCAGGATCCGGCCTCCCCCCGGGACAGGCAGAGGCCGGGAGGGCCCAGGACAGCAAGGACACTCCTGCCCGGAGCTGAGCAGATCAGCGGCCCCGCCCCGGAGCATCCAGCCCCTGCAGACGGAGAGCTCTGTAGTTACTGCAGGAGCTGAATGCAGGGCTCCAGAGCTGGCCGCTGCCACTGTGGTTGTTCCTCCTGGGGCCTCACAGGGTAAAAAACCCCCCACTGAGCCCTGCACCAGGCAGCTCCCGCAAGTGCTAACACCTGAAAATCAGCACAACAGGCCCCTCCCCCAGAAGACCAACTAGACAGACAAGTTCCAGGGGAAGTCAAGGGACTTAAAGTATACAGAATCAGAAGATACTCCCCCGTGGTTTTTTTGTTGTTTTGTTTTTTGCTTTTTGATTTGTTTGCTTCCCCCACCCTTTTTTTTCTTTCTTTTTCTCCTCTTTTTATCTTCCTTTTTTCTTTTTTCTTTTTCTCTTTTCTTTCCTTCTTTCTCTCCTCTCTTTTTCTCCTTTTCCCAATACAACTTGTTTTTGGCCACTCTGCACTGAGCAAAATGACTAGAAAGAAAACCTCACCACAAAAGAATCAGAAACAGTCCTCTCTCCCACAGAGTTACAAAATCTGGATTACAATTCAGTGTTAGAAAGCCAATTCAGAAGCACTATTATACAGCTACTGGTGACTCTAGAAAAAAGCATAAAGGACTCAAGAGACTTCATGACTGCAGAATTTAGATCCAATCAGGCAGAAATTAAAAATCAATTGAATGAGATGCAATCCAAACTAGAAGTCCTAACGACGAGGGTTAACGAGGGGGAAGAACGACTGAATGACATAGAAGACAAGTTGATGGCAAAGAGGGAAACTAAGGAAAAAAGAGACAATTAAAAGACCATGAAGATAGATTAAGGGAAATAAACAACAGCCTAAGGAAGAAAAACCTACGTTTAACTGGGGTTCCCAAGGGCGCCGAAAGGGCCAGAAGGCCAGAATATGTATTTGAACAAATCCTAGCTGAAAACTTTCCTAATCTGGAAAGGGAAACAGGCATTCAGATCCAGGAAATAGAGAGATCCCCTCTAAAATCAATAAAAACCGTTCAACACCTCGACATTTAACAGTTAAGCTTGCAAATTCCAAAGATAAAGAGAAGATCCTTAAAGCAGCAAGAGACAAGAAATCCCTGACTTTTATGGGGAGGAGTATTAGAGTAACAGCAGACCTCTTCCATAGAGACCTGGCAGGCCAGAAAGGGCTGGCAGGATATATTCAGGGTCCTGAATGAGAAGAACATGCAACCAAGAATACTTTATCCAGCAAGGCTCTCATTCAAAATGGAAGGAGAGTTAAAGAGCTTCCAAGACAGGCAGGAGCTGAAAGAATATGTGACCTCCAAACCAGCTCTGCAAGAAATTTTAAGGGGGACTCTTAAAATTCCCCTTTAAGAAGTCCAGTGGAACAATCCACAAAAACAAGGACTGAATAGATATCATGATGACACTAAACTCATATCTTTCAATAGTAACTCTGAACATGGACAGGCTTAATGACCCCATCAAAAGGCGCAGGGTTTCAGACTGGATAAAAAAGCAGGACCCATCTATTTGCTGTCTACAAGAGACTCATTTTAGACAGAAGGACACCTACAGCCTGAAAATAAAAGGTTGGAGAACCATTTACCATTCAAATGGTTCTCAAAAGAAAGCAGGGGTAGCCATCCTTATATCAGATAAACTAAAATTTACCCCGAAGACTGTAGTGAGAGATGAAGAGGGACACTATATCATACTTAAAGGATCTATCCAACAAGAGGACTTAACAATCCTCAATATATATGCCCCGAATGTGGGAGCTGCCAAATATATCAATTAATAACCAAAGTGAAGAAATACTTAGATAATAATACACTTCTACTTGGTGACTTCAATCTAGCACTTTCTATACTCGATAGGTCTTCTAAACACAACATCTCCAAAGAAACGAGAGCTTTAAATGATACAGTGGACCAGACGGATTTCACAGATATCTACAGAACTTTACATCCAAACTCAACTGAATACACAATCTTCTCAAGTGCACATGGAACTTTCTCCAGAATAGACCACATACTGGGTCACAAATCAGGTCTGAACCGATACCAAAAGATTGGTATACAGCTATACGCCAATAAATTAGGCAATCTAGAAAAAATGCAATCATTCCTGGAAAGCCACAAACTACCAAAACTGGAACAGGAAGAAATAGAAAACCTGAACAGGCCAATAACCAGGGAGGAAATTGAAGCAGTTATCAAAAACCTCCCAAGACACCAAAGTTCAGGGCCAGATGGCTTCCCAGGGGAATTCTATCAAACGTTTAAAGAAGAAACCATACCTATTCTACTAAAGCTGTTTGGAAAGAAAGAGATGGAGTACTTCCAAATTCGTTCTATGAGGCCAGCATCACCTTAATTCCAAAACCAGACAAAGACCCCACCAAAAAGGAGAATTACAGACCAATATCCCTGAACAGGGATGCAAAAATTCTCAACAAGATTCTAGCCAATAGGATCCAATAGTACATTAAGAAGATTATTCACCATGACCAAGTGGGATTCATCCCCGGGACACAAGGCTGGTTCAACACTTGTAAAACAATCAATGTGGTTCATCATATCAGCAAGAGAAAAACCAAGAACCATATGATCCCCTGATTAGATGCAGAGAAAGCATTTGACAAAATACAGCATCCATTCCTGATCAAAACTCTTCAGAGTGTAGGGATAGAGGGAACATTCCTCAACATCTTAAAAGCCATCTACGAAAAGCCCACAGCAAATATCATTCTCAATGGGGAAGCACTGGGAGCCTTTCCCATAAGATCAGGAACAAGACAGGGATGTCCACTCTCACCACTGCTATTCAACATAGTACTGGAAGTCCTAGCCTCAGCAATCAGACAACAAAAAGACATTAAAGGCATTCAAATTGGCAAAGAAGAAGTCAAACTCTCCCTCTTTGCCTATGACATGATACTCTACATGGAAAACCCAAAAGCCTCCACCCCAAGAGTGCTAGAACTCATACAGGAATTTAAGAGTGTGGCAGTATACAAAATCAATGCCCAGAAATCAGTGGCATTTCTATACACTAACAATGAGACTGAAGAAAGAGAAATTGAGGAGTCAATCCCATTTACAATTACACCCAAAAGCCTAAGATACCTAGGAATAAACCTAACCAAAGAGGTAAAGGAACTATACCCTAAAAACTATAGAACACTTCTGAAAGAAATTGAGGAAGACACAAAGAGATGGAAAAATATTCCATGCTCATGGATTGGCAGAATTAATATTGTGAAAATGTCAATGTTACCCAGGGCAATTTACACGTTTAATGCAATCCCTATCAAAATACCATGGACTATCTTCAGAGAGTTAGAACAAATTATTTTAAGATTTGTGTGGAATCAGAAAAGACCCCGAATAGCCAGGGGAATTTTAAAAAAGAAAACCATAGCTGGGGCATCACAATGCCAGATTTCAGGTTGTACTACAAAGCTGTGGTCATCAAGACGGTGTAGTACTGGCACAAAAACAGACATATAGATCAATGGAACAGAATAGAGACCCAGAAGTGGACCCTGAACTTTATGGTCAACTAATATTCGACAAAGGAGGAAAGACTATCCATTGGAAAAAAGTCTCTTCAATAAATGGTGCTGGGAAAATTGGACATCCACATGCAGAAGAATGAAACTAGACCACTCTCTTGCACCACACACAAAGATAAACTCAAAATGGATGAAAGATCTAAATGTGAGACAAAATTCCATCAAAAATCCTAGAGGAGAACACAGGCAACACCCTTTTTGAACTTGGCCACAGTAACTTCTTGCAAGTACATCCACGAAGGCAAAAAAAACAAAAGCAAAAATGAACTATTGGGACTTCATCAAGATAAGAAGCTTTTGCACAGCAAAGGATACAGTCAACAAAATTAAAAGACAACCTACAGAATGGGAGAAGATATT